GGAATGATGGCACAGAAACCATCATGGAAAAGTGGCGCAGAAGCCACTGTGAAGCGACGGAATAGCAATCCATGTGGGGGAAAAATATAAAATAATTGATTCGGGAATGAGCGGAGGCGACAACCCGGAAATATGGAAAAATCGAACAAGAATCACGTCGGGGTCACCAATATGTGGTGCCGTGGGGCTGTTCACCACATATCAGTGACTGGGTTTTACGTTAATCAGAAATGGAGAATATCAACCTGGTGCGTGTTCCAAAAATTCAATCAGTTCGATCCAAACGGCCCCAAGTAAAAGAATTAATTTAAGGAGCGGGTTGTTATATTTAAATTACCAAAACGAAGTCAAAAACCAAAACAGCGAATCAGACCATGGAGCGACGAAGAGACGAGAATGAAATCCAAGTTGGCCAAATATGCCCTGCCTAATCTAAGTTATAAATCCCGGACAGAACGGGCCAAATCGCGGAGCCAGACGTGACGCGTCTGCTCGGGTCAAGAGCTCGGCCTAGAAGTTCCTGGGAGCGCGCGGCCCGACGCAGCGGGCCGGGCCCAGACATGCGCAGAAGCACTCGGACACCACGTGGCTGCCGATCGGAGCGCGGATTGGTCACTGGCCGACGCACTGCGGCAGCGCAGGCCGCAGACACGCGGTCGCATCGTGATGGGACAAAGTTCACGAACAGACACGTCCTGGGCCGCCCCCCAGCGCCGGGGCGGGGTAGCGACGTCACAAGTCGGCGCGCGAATCGGTCTGCGCCGGGAACTCCCGCGCCGGCCGGCGACACACGTGGTTACCACAGTTGTTTGCTGTTGCCTAGCCTATCACGGATCACAGCCGAATGGGCGACGGCGATAACGGTCAATGCATTTTTATACCGTGGTCTTCAGTGTTTTCCCTGGCTGACAACACTGATCTCACTGCTCACAAATTAATTGATGAATCACAGATAGATATAATGCGATATATGTCACAGAAAGGGAAAAATGCAATAACAAATTACCCCGTATCAATCTCTTATTTGTATTACCATCATACGCAATTAACCTAATGTGCAGTTAGTCCTATAACTTGGCTGGAATGAGTTTGACTGAATTGATAAATACACTTAAATATACCTAACGTCAGACGGAAAGATGTAGAGTTTCTTTTTTCGAGAATTTGTATATCAGGTCACTGGCTGGTCAAAGCTTCACAATTGCTGTTCATGGAAGATGGCCGATGCCGACAGCGGTTGCCAATATATTAACCGTTTTCACGACGGTCTATCCGGCGAGTGCACCTAATTTGACCAAATCTGCACCCAATCTCTTTTACAGCAAATATCTTTATGAATTTATTTCAGTGTTTTAATCGATGATGCTCTCTGATAATACGACAAAGGAGGCATATAAGCAATTAGTGTAACCTTAGCTGATAGCTGCTAAGAGACCAACTGAACCTGATTTGACCAAATCTGCGCCTGATCTGCACCAGATGTGCACCAAATGTGTACCAGATGGCCGTCGTGAAAACGGCTCCTGTCGAATACACGCTTGACATGTTTCATGTATAAATATGGGTGCTCATAAAAATAGTTTACCCATTTTTACTGTAGGAGAGGTCTATGCTGTAGACCTTACCTGTAGGCTGGCTGACCAAAAGGTAAGGCAAGAACTCACAGCTCTTAGAACTAAGAACTCTAGTCTATAGCAGACATACATATTTATTAGGTAATTTGTCCTCCCCGTGGCCTAGTGGATAAGGCGTCCGTCACCTAGCTCGGTGGCAGCGAGTTTGCAGCCGGGAAGCTCCACTTCGTTTGACCCGCGTTCCTATACTCAGCCAGCTGACAACTGGCAAGAGACGGAGTTAGAGACGACTCTAGCCCATGCTAGACCCGGGCGGACCGTGCCGCCATCTACCTGCGGTACGTTAAACATTCGATTCAAGTTATCACCGGTGAGGGCGCGGGCGAGGGCTGGTGGTGGATCCGTGGTGTCATTCGCAACAAGCAGCTGCCTAGCGGGGCACCCGGGCCCACAGCCACCCATTCAACCATTGGGACAATTTTTTTTTTTTAAATGCACAAAACATCCAGGGTATGGCTATTATGCATGGTACACTAGCGACCGGCAAGAAATGACTTACCTTGCTGGAGTTACTGGTAAAATTATCGACGTTAGTTTATTGAAACCCGACAATAACCCGCGCCCGGCTGGGGGTCCTGGATTTCCACGCCCTGCTGGGGGGTGTGTGTTTAAACACCCCCCCCCTTCTAACTCGGCTCCTGGGCCACGTAGCGATACGCGGAAGGCGGCGTTCGAAAGAGCGTCAAAAATAATGAGGAAATCACTTCGGTCAATTTTTTGGTCAGGTCAAAGGTCAGGTCACCAGAGGTCATTGAAGGCAAAATTTCGCCGATTTCCAGGTCGAATGTCGACAATTTCCAAGAAGCCAACGCATAACTCGCGAACCAATAGAGCTACAGCGCCGCGGAAAAGCGCATTCGATAGCCCTTTTAACGCCCTTTCTGAGTAATTCTCTCAGATTTGACCTAACGTCAACGGTTTTGCCTGCAGGGGGCAAAAACTGCAAAAATAGCCGATTTTTTCGGAAACAGTTTTCCTGCAATAACTTTTGATCCAAGCCTTGTACGAGCTTACTTTTACCGGCATCGTGTTCTTCTCGTCAATACGCATCGAATGAACTATAACTTGACCTTGAAAGGTCAACTTGAAAATTTGACCTCAGGTCAAGGTCATGACCTGACCGGAAAGGGTCATGTTGCATATCAGTCGATCCGTATCGTCGAGCTGAACACATCTAAGGCGTTTTCATCGCTCTAGCATGCCTCTATCAAAAGTTATTTGCGAAAAACTGTTAGATACCATTCGTGACCTAAGATGACCTCAGGGCATAAACAGGGGTCACGGACACCATTTTCATGTTCAGTGTGTCTTAACCACTTGTAATTTAGTGTTTGGGAGTGTTTATAATGTCTTTCGTCCAAAGGAGGCGCATTTCAATTTTCTCCCATTGACTTATACCTAATGGGGAGGTCGCAAAATTGACCTGACCTTAGGTCATCGACTTCTTGGAGGTAAGCTATGGTATTTCTGAGCATGATTAATAATGTAAATAGAGTGAATAACCTTATGCTCATGTTATATGTTGCAAATTGATATAATTAAAACTAAATTGATATATTTCGATATTGCACCGTCATCAGAATAAGAATGATGAAATATTTCTTATTCTGATGACGGTGCAATATCGAAATATATCAATTTAGTTTTAATTATATCAATTTGCAACATATAACATGAGCATAAGGTTATTCACTCTATTTACATTAGGTCATCGATATCAAAATTCTGAGATATACATTTTGTACATGCTATTGCTCCTAGCAAACGCTGAAACTTGCAAAGGGATCGGTTACTCGGTGTAGCTATGACAGACATTGAAACTTTTTATGAGGTGAGGTCACTTCAAGTGACCTGGTGACCTGACCTTGAATGACCTTGGTCTGAAATTTTCACAACATGTGTAGAATTGATGTATAATAAGGTGTACCAAAAACGGCGGCGCTCCGCGCCGCCGTTTTTGAGATATTCGCGAAAAACCACAAGGAGGGGGGGGGGGTGTTCAAACACCCCCCAGCAGGGCGCGGGTTAAAGTATGACAATGCATGCTAGTTTTATCAGTTAAATACTGTCTTTTTGGATATTTTGGCGCTTTTGCTGTCGTTAATTGGATGAGAGGAAAAGTTGATAGGAAAAGTTGATTAACTTGGGATTAGTTGATTGGTATTTTTCCTCTTTCTCAGGAGACATAAAAATTTTATAAAGTCGGCGCCATTTACAAGTTCCATTTATTAGCGCGATGGCTCACACATAAATGACACGGTTATCAATCTATCACTCCAGGTAAGCAATACTTTAATTGTTGAAATATGTCCCTGTCCTCAATTCATGTCAATTACGCACTTGCGGTGCTTGTGCGAATAACATTGCGGACCGACCACCCGATCTTGACCGCGTCCCATTCATCGGTGATCATTTTAACTGAAAGTTTAACGTACCGCAGGTACCTACAGGTAACGTAAAGTGTGCTGTTTGTATGTAAAAATGTATATTATATGCCTTCCGCGGAGGCTAACTTTATGTCATTTGCTAATGAACACCCCTTAGATGGCGACACGGTCCCTCCGGGTCTAGAGTGGTCCTCTCGCCAGTTGCCAGCACGGCTGGCTTGATATAGAAACGCGAATAGTCGGGAGGATGTGGGTGGAGTCCTTCCCTGGAAGGATGCGTGGAGTTCATCGGCCTCGAACTTGCTGCCCTGGAACTATCCATAATCCACTAGGCAACACGGAGGACCTCGATATGTGTTACCTACATGTTACTGAATGGAAGACCGTTCCTGATATCATTTACCCGAGTAGACCATACACCATTTTCTTAAAGGAAAAGGGCCACCTTCAACATGGGGATTGAAACTGAGATAGCCATCTTGTAGCCCGTGTCCGAAAACCTATCTGTCTACCTCCTTACGGCCGAGTTCGGCCTCCATTCGTAGTTATCAGCAATTTTAAAAGAAAATACGCCAGGAATGCGTCCTTATCCCAGGAATGCGTTCTTATCCGACAATACAGCCACCCGCGGCGAGGCTTTGGTTTTTTACCAATCAGCTCCAACCAGCTCAGCTTTAACCAATCAGCTTATCTGACACAATCCGACGAGTCTGTCTTCTGAACGCTGATTGGCTTGAGTGTGACGTCATCGCTATGCCATCATACAGTAGGTGCCGTAGAGAGTATCAACATAGTACCAATATGTTAAATAGTTTTAAATACTTTTTCGCGAATTGTGCACTTCTGGCACCAGTTTTAAAAAGAAAATGAAAAATAATAATGTCAAAATGAAAAACAACGATATCTTCATATTTCACGAAGGTGGCCCTTTTCCTTTAAATGTTAATGGTGACTAGCACGGCCCATGAAAAATAACGAACACAAAAATAAGCGTTTATTGGCAACGGTAACAACGTGGTAGTGCCGAAGTTGCAGTGATTGTTTTTAATATCATATGCCTCATGCTGTCACGCACACATACAATACTGTCAAACTCAAATGGCTGGTAGTGACTCATCAGTAAGGTGCGACGCGGAAAATAACAAAAAAGGCTAGTTCACAACGCATGCGAACCATTTTGAGGTGCCTTCCGGAGTCTACACAATGCAGGGAAACACTGTGTGCTGACATTGTCTCAGACACTTCTCAACACGCCACTCGCTATTGATGGTTACAGTTCAACACGTTTTGATTCTTTTAAGAATCCGGTTTGCCAAAAAGGATATCTAGTGCAATAAACATCGGCACTTTTATGTACTACACTTGCAATCTAAAAAGCAACAGGAATAGGATGCACAGCTGCAACATTCAGAGCTTCGACGGTTCTTGATATGCATTAATCAATCATTAGTCGAAATAGTGGTCCTATTATGTGATATCTACTTTCAAGTAACTAATCCAACATCAGTACCTAATTACATTTCCAATTCTAACTTGTCTACATCTTCACAAACGTTTCACAGTCCACATTATTTCGTATTCCCTTGCGTCCTTTGTCAACATTGTCCACCTCCATATTTGTATCTCCGATCCGCTCATCACTGCGCCACCTAAATAGGCACCACGATGACTGGTGGCGGCGGCGGCGGCGGCGGCGGGCCGTGGCCTCCTCCGCCGCCTCCGGCGTTCAGCACAATGATCTGCGGCGGCGGAGGTCCGTGCCCGCCTCCGTGCCCGCCACCGTGCCCTCCGCCGTGCCCTCCGCCATGCCCTCCGACGTGCACGTGCACGACAGCGCCGGGCGGCTCGGGTGGCGGCTCGTGCGGCGGCTCGTGCGGCCCGTGGTGCACGTGCACGGCTACCAGCGGGCCCTCGGGCTCCTCCTCCTCCGGGGGCTTGATGATGATCGGGGTAATGATGCCGCTGAAATGGACACATTATGTCTAGTTAGTAGGAGATCGGTCAGGGAGAAGTGGGTTTTAACGCGTGAAATTTATGAATTGAAATTGCGTTATATATTTATTGTCATGGGCGCAAAATGACCTGTGCAGTTGGCGCGCCCTAAAGCACCGATACACAACAACAACAATATCTATCGTCGTCCGTCGGTAATTTTAGCGTTTGAAATCGATATCGATAGGATTTGTTTACGTTTACCCACCCACATTGCAATGCTTCTCGGCTTTCTTATAAGTGTAAAAATACTGCTAGATTGGGCCTTGATCGTTGGGCATGTGAAGTTAACCGTAAGATAAGATCACATAGCAAGCCACAAAAGTCCGTTCGTGTGTTGAGTTTGCTTGCGATGGACTATGAAATTCCAACAACACTTTTGATTGCAGAGGAGAAAATGAAATGCGCTGTGTTTTTATTGTTTAGTTCATGTAAGTTATTTGCTCTGGCTGTTTATTGCCCTACTGTTATTGAGCAAATGCCTCTGGTGGTCCCTGCCCAAGGTGAAAGGCGGATGATGCAAATGCCAAAATAAATGGCTGAGAAATCGTTTTGTTTTTGCAATTTGGATGCATTACCAAAGACACTAACTTATACCAATATTAGGTAATCGTTTTGTTTTTGCAATTTGCATGCACTACCAAAGACACTTACTTATACCAATATTAGGTTCTCATAAGGAGATGTGAACCCCCACACCCCTCCCTTATGCAGTGACTGTCAGTGGCAAATATAATCGAGGTAATTTTCCTCAATTTCCCGATGTCGATCCCTAAGCGCAGTTTCTTGCCGTCCATCGCTTTGCAAGCGCCACCTACATCAGTTGGCGACCCACTGCCCTGTGCAGCGACATCTGAACCCCGAACCCAACCAACCTGGGTCGACCATTGCACTCCCTTACACTGTCGACCTAGAAATTTTTATTGATAATTTGGATAACAAGCTGATAAGGTATTGGGAAGGTGGGCATCATAACAACTATCGCCTTCATGCGATTCATTTGGTAATTCCGAGCACCAACGTGCTCGAGCTGCTTAATTTCTAACAATTACGGGTCATTGACCGGACCTGGAAGGTCAACCGATGACCTAGGACCTTAAAATTTGGTATCATCGGCTTCCTCTCCTGACGGGCAACACGCTCGATTTTCCGCGTAGCTCTAGCTTGATCAGGGGCTAAACGCGAGGGGGGGGGGGGTCGTACCAACTTGTGCTGCCGTCGAAGGACGCAAAATGGCCTGTGCCGGCGAGGGTTAACAGAAGGTTTCTATGCTATATATATTTTTTCAATGTTGAGCCGTGAGCGTTCATCTATCTCTTTGATGTTCTATGCCGCGTCCCCTAACTTTAAAAGTAAACTTTTCATGAAGTCATAGAAGTGAGTTGCGCTTCGCGATGAAATATTCTTGGTATAGGTGGTTGCGCCAATAAAGTGTATAATTTGTTTATGCATGAAACAAATCAATGCAATTTGGGACAATGGATTTTTAGAAATAAACAATAGAGAAAAAAGTTGACCTCTACAGGACATTTAAATCATGGTAAAACCAAATTAATGTTTGCCAGTGCTCTGGCGAGGAACATGATTGAAGGTAACATGAAGGTAACATGATTGAACATGATTGAAGGTAATTGAAGGTAAAAAAAGGTAACTTTGCATTAATTTTGCTGTAGACTCGAGGAATAAGGTCAATGTAAGACCAAATTGTTTATTTTCTAAACAGAATTTAAGCGTCGAGTGAAGGTTAACTTTTTCCCTATTTTCTCGCTTTAACATTCATGATGTTCCTCGTAAGAGCGCTCCAAAGATTAACCTTTTATTCTTATTTCGTTTTTTTCCTTATTCAATCCTCGGCCCTCGCTTATAACAATTATTTTTAACCACACTTTTACAATAAGAACAAAATTAGCCCAACGTTAGTGCCCATAGTGGGAGCAACGGAATGAAAAAAGACAATAAAACAGCCACACTTTTCTGTCATAAGGCTGTAGTATTTTTACGAGAACGCTGCCAAAATCTTGGCACAAACCCATGGTCATTTGTTATGATGCTGTTTAAAGTTTCTTTTTTTTAAAGCTCATATGCGCCTCCCTCTGCGTTACGTTAACCGCTCAGATGCTAAAAACTGCGCCACTCTCTCCCCGCGCTACTCAACTCACCCTCCAAGGAAGAAGCCGTCGGCCACCGAGATGGCACCCAGCGCCACGAGCAGTAGCACCTGTCCGACAGACGTCCATACAATGTCAGATATCATCAGCTGTAGTGCAACTGGGCAATCGACAATAGTTTCGGGCTACCTATCCGTTATGTTAATCGATAATTTAATTCGGCATTGCAGTTCAGTTACTCTTTCATTTCTGATCCAATGCATCCGGAAATAAGTGATCATGTCAAATGTTAAAAAAAAAACTTTAATTTTTATCGCTCATCATCTTTTAGAAATGATATCGCAAATAATGCATTGTTATTTTAAAAAATCGCTAACCTATTATGAATAAGAATATCCAAGCATCTATGTGTCACAGAAAGTAGCACGGTTTACGATAAAAACAGCTAAACTGGATGCATGTGTCATATTGGGCTGATGCGGTGCGACTTACCAGCCGCGTCATGGCTGGAGCCTGGGGGGCCACTGCGCTCCTCGTTTGGGCGGCCGGGCCTTTATATGGCGTGACTGTACACTAATGAATGCGGTATCGGACAACAAAAAACTGTAACACGTGCAAACAAAATGGCGATACCATAAATGGCAGACGGTTCTTGAAACCGCGTTTCCTATCTAGAATGCTGTAGTGGCGCATTGGTTTATCAGTAGTGGCAACTTAGAACATGGTGTGATTAGCAATTGTCTGGTTGTCAATGGTCAGGTAGGACATACACTTCATAGAATATTTACCTGGGCAATAGAAGTTTAGACAGCGGCTTTCATTTCAGCAGTCTTGCCATGAAAGAGACTATAAAGGGGGCTAAATTTTCAGCAGCATTTTTCAGAAATAGAGGCTATGTCTTTGTCAGTATTAGTGTCATGGGACAGACATGGTTTGTCAATGTTCTTGTCATGAGGCGGACGATGTTAATTGATTGTGTCCATTCATCTAGTGTAGCAGATGCTTCCTGCCCATCGGTGCACATTGACATTACACTCACAACTTACACGTTTCTCTCCTCAGGCTGTCAAGGACATAACATTTCCAAACTATGGCAAGGATTCCGCTGTTCTGTAGGTAAGCTTCACAAGTTGTTCTGGGTGTCATCTTCTAGTTTATTCATTTGTTTGTCGCGGCTGAATGAATCATCTGGTATGGGCAGTTTTCCATGTTTACCTCATAAACAACGGTATTAGTGGTGTGTTGATCACACGCTGTACAACCCTGACCGCTTTTTTAACCGTTTTCCGTGTGAAGTAGGTCACTTCTGCTTTCATTACATAATTGCAGCTTCGTCTGAATGACTAATGACAGGAAGCCGATTTCTATTTACCTCTCATGCAACAAATAGCAAATGAAATGAGACGAAACGCCAGCAGTTGATCATTCAGCTTCGTTCAGTTGGTCATTCATTCAGTATAATTCATTGGTCATTCATTCAGTATAATTCATTGGTCATTCATTCCTTGGCCATTCATTTAGGGTCATTCTAGCATATTTTAGCTGATACACTTGACCTCAACTTAATCTGTGGTGATGAAATTAAGATAGGTACCTTATATTTATTTTGTTTAAACTTTACAGTTGTCTCAATGGTATCGTTTGGTTACTGGAAATGGTTGTGACCGGAGTCTTTCACTTACCGTTGTTGGGCTGACAATTAACCCGCGCCCCGCTGGGCTATTCAGCCATACGCGCCCTGCTGGGGGGGGGGGGGGCAGATTCTGCCCCCCCTGTCTAACTTCCGAACCGATGGTCGTAGAAAGACGGGGAAAACGGCAATCGAAAGCTCTCAACAAGGCGGATCTTAAGAGCCCAATTTTTTTTTGCTTAAGTAGGTCAGAGGTCAGGTCAAGGTCAGGTCAAGGGTACAAAATGCAAGTTTCTACAGTATCGGCCTTGCACCGTAGTTGCCGAAGAATGGACTGAGACTGATTGCCCAAAACGTGTTCTTGACTACCAAGACAATATTCGTTGCATACAATGTCATTCAAAGGTCAAGGTCAAGGTCAGGTCAGGTCAGGTCAGGTCAGGTCACCAAAAACAAAATATAGAAAAGGGCATGTGCGACACATGTTTTATGGGTCATTTTGCTCATATAATTCAATAGGCACACTCAATAAGTGATATGGACCACCTCTGAATGAATTTCAGGTCGAGGCCAGGTCAAGGTCAGGTCAAGTGAGGTCAAATTTTGAAGTTTGTTTTGAAGGCCTAAAAAGGTGTCTATCTGATGCAGTTTTTCACGGCGAACCGAATGGTGCTCTTTTTGGTTCCGTACAAGGTCTAAAACTTCCAAAAAATCATTTTTTTCAAAAAATTTGTGTGTCGTGACGTCATAAAGTTTTGAATAGCTCCCACATTTTTGAACCGATTCTTCTAAAAATTGGTATGTAGGTGCACATAGACCACTTCCTCTGACATATATTCCGTTTTTTTCGATACACTCAAAATTCTGGATTTTATAATTATTTTCCCAAAAAAAAGTCAGTTTAAAAAAAAATGGAACAAAATCCAAAATTTTCAAAAAACCGAGACAGCCATTTGATAGACAAAGTAGAGTCACGTACAACCTTTTTTGTTACGTCTTGATTCCTTTAAAAATGAAGATGTCAGCGGCGTTTGAAATTTTGCCGTTTTTGAGGCGAAAATGGCGAACATGACGTCTTAAAACGTCAATTTCTCAAAAAAATTTCCGACAGATTTCGCTCAAATTTTCAGGGAACGTGTCAAATTGATGTATGATAAGGTACCGAAAGTTTGACGTCGCTGGCGTAACGCGTTTAGAAGTTATTGGCGAAAAACGGGAGGGGGGCAGATTCTGCCCCTCCCCAGCGGGGCGCGGGTTAACTCGTTGATCATCCGAGATTCGAAATACTGAAAGGGACGTATGTGGTGGATGCAGTATAAGCAATAAATGATAATATATGCTGTTTTTTTTTTTTGGTTCGGGAATAACTCGAAAACGAATAGACTCTTGTAAGTACTAATTGTAATATTTTCCCGAATATATCGGTTCCTTAATTGCTTTCAAATAGTCAAATAGTCACACGGCTTTAACAGATATACCTAATGGCCGCCCCATACTGGAACTCGCATGCGTGTTGCGGGTTTTTGGGTTTTCGGGTTTCTTCAAAATTGAACAATACAATCTATGCTGAGTGACCCACACTACCATCTAACAAGCGAGTCTGCATGTTCTTAGCTTGCGAGCCACCTTGAATCGCATTCCAAAAGTTGATTTTGAGTCAACTTTCGATTTTCCTCGCTGCGAGGTCTGCGAGTTCTGCGAGGTTCGCGGGTTTTTCGCTGGAGTCGAATTTTGGTTCGTTACGCTGGTGTTGCGACTACATGTAATTTATCAGGAGTATGAAAATAACCTCTTGCTCATATCTGAAGGAATTAAAAAATTAAAGACCAATATATATTCGGGCGTGGCCCTTCCTCAGTGGTACAGTGTTACAATGGAACAAGCTTGTTCCATTGTAACACTGTACCACTGAGGAAGGGCCACGCCCGAATATATATTGGTCTTTAATTTTTTAATTCCTTCAGATTGAGCAAGAGGTTATTTTTCATACTCCTGATAATCTTATCAACAATGCTCAACTCAACGTTTCAATACCTGAAATCATACATGTAATTTTCTGAAGGTGTACCGGCTTCACTGCAATCATGAAGTTTCCATGAGGGAACGGTCTAATCACTCTATAAATCAGTATCATGCCAGCAAACTCAAAACCTGCAAACTCGTAACCCGCATGCGAGGTCCAGTGTGGGGCGGCCTTAAGTTTGCGTTCCATCCCTGACTGATCCCATGCCAGTCAGGGGGGGGGGGTGCCCCCCAATAGTTTTTTTTCGCGATAGCTCGGAGCACTCCGGAGATAGAGAGCTGAAACTTTGCATACCTGACCTTTGCTTCGATCCAGAGCTTTTTACACCAACTGAATTTTCAGTTCAGGTCAGGTCACTGACCTATGACGTCATAAGTAAATCTCTGCGGTCTGCGCGGTCGTGAAGTGTCTCAAATTCGCAACGCCCTCAGTGCCAGAGGAGCTTTCACACGGAGGTGAAACTTGCAGTACCTAGTATGCTTTTGGATTTTTCCTAAAGCTCACATGGGCCCAATCTTTAAAGGTTGTGCTACCAAATGGCGTACTATCATTCCACCCCACTCTATTTACGGCACCCTATTCACGCAATCTTATAAAGAGAATAGTATGGTAAGTCTATTCACGCCATTTTGCCCACAGTACAAATCAACGCCAGCAGGAAACACGCAACGTGATTGGTCAATGTCTTGTCGCCGTCGCTATTGGAAATTATGCGTACTGTTTGCGAACAGCAAAAGTTATGTGTTTCAATTTTTATGGGGCATTTATTTCTTTTAGAGACAGACATATGTGTAATGAATAAGTTATTTATGGAAAACGTGATAGCAAACTATGGAAAACACAAACATGCTTGAAGAATTCTCCTGAAAAGTGGATTGCCGACCAAATAAATTTCAGCGAGGGCATTCTCGCGCTCAGAAATTCGAGTGAATAAAGTGTTTCTTCTACTTATCATTTGCATTTATTTGCTGTTAAGGCATTGCAATAAACTTGTTAAAGAATTATTTAAATAGTCATTTAATTATAGCTCGGCTACTGTTTCAGTAATTTAAGTAATGCCGTTGACAATGAAGCTCCTACAATTTGAGCATCAGGATATCGTACATTAACTGGATCAATTCAAGATATAGCTTATTTTCCTTCTTGTCATAAGCTCTTGACATTTTCCTTCTTGAAGATAAACTACTAAAATTCGAAGACAACGTACATGAACTGCATTAGGTCAAGTTACAGCTTATTTTCCTTCTTATTCAAGCATAGGTACCTGTTACCTAACCTAAAGCTAAAAAGCAATTCCTCAAAAGATTGAAGAACCCAGTCTACATATCAAAGCATATCAAGAAAAATACTCGGCTCAGAAGTCAGATCGAGATGCAGAAAGAGAAGAAACAACACATTGATCCGTAACTGTGCCAGACAGAAAGTGAGGAGATACGAATAGTGAGTAGGAATTAACAAATTTTTTGACAAACTAAGGTATATCATCATTAATTTAAATATCTAATCAGAAGCCATGAAGTGCCCGTTATTTGTGTCATACGTGAGACGTGAGAATAGGCTAAAGATCCATACCGATTCTATAATGCAGTGGCTGCCGAAAATCTATGATGGTTACTGGTGCTAAAATCTTCTTAAAAAATCCCCTTTTAATTTGAAAAATAAATCCATATAACGATGACCACTCGTTTTTATGTGTTTTAGTGTGCATTTAGTTCCTGAAAATACGTATTTTGAAATTGATCGTTGTCTGTATAATAGGTAAGCATCATTATAATGAACCTGAGTTAATATGTGGAGGATGTATTAATCTTAAAAATATCATAACGTAAAATATTGCATATTTATATCATAAAAACATTGA